TCCTCTGAGCACCTCCTCCATTTGCAGGCCAGGGGATAGACTGTGTGTGGTGGAGGGAAAGCCCACACCTGGACTCCAGGCCCCACCTGTCTTAGTCTCCTGGAAGAAACTCAGGTCCTGGTGCAGAAGGGAGGAGAAGAGCTGCTCCCGGATCCGCAAGTTGATCCTGGACATGGTGAAGAGGAAGCAGCCTCCTCGGCAGCCTGCGGACAGCGAGCTGCGGGGTTGAGAGGGACGAGGAAGGGGACCAAGAAGGAGGGAGGGAGTGAGGGAAACAAAGGAGAAAGCGCAGAATGAAAAGAAATGCAAAGTTGGGGGAAGTATACCGGGACAGGCAGAAGAGAAATGAACCAGACAAGGACAGTGGAAAGAGGGGCAGAAATAAGCAGAGGACAAGGAAAAAAAGGCATGGTGAGCAATACTCAGAACAAAATCCTAACTCGTACAAATTCACCAGTATTTATGCCAGAGGCAAGGGAAGAATACAATAGAAGTGAGAAGATATCGTAAATAGAGATCAGCTGTGGCTGCCTGGCCTCCCCCAGCTATCCCTCCAGGCTTCCCCTCGGTCTCAGTCTCCTTTCTCCCCACCCCAAAGTCCTTCCTCCTCGCCCTGGGTACTTCTCTGTGGGAACCACCCTCTCAAGTCCCTGAGCCCTATCTTGTTGTTCCCCACTCTAGGGGCCCTGGAGTTGGACAACTTCTCTTAGACCAACCATATATCCTATATAATAAAAGGCTAATATGCAAATTGTCCCCTCAGGAGTTCCACCCACCAGGAGTTTGACTGCTCACTATGACGTGTGCTGACTACCAGGGGGCGGCACAGAATGAAGGAAGGCCCTGGACAGCATCCGGAAGGCTCTGATCAGCACTGATCACTGGCCAGGCCTAGGGACCCTACCCTGCATGAATTTCGTGCACCAGGCCTCTAGTTTACAATAAAATGTGAAGGGGAAATGTGAAAGCATGGAAGCAGGTATTTTGCAAAATATGGGTTTCTCATACAAATCTAGTACCAGGTTTGGGAGGCTGTTGGGATATAGTCAGTCACAAAATGATGAGGGTTTGGACTTTGATCGCAGTGAGAACAGAGAGAAAAGAGCCACAGGAGAAACACTGTGAAAGCAGAAAACGACATGGCTAGTTCTGAACACAAGGAAGGCATCCCTGATGCTGATGCTGGAGCCCAGGGGACTGATGCTTTCAGGAAGGGGAACAAGACCCGGAGGGAGGGTGAAATATCTGGAGCCCCGGGTATGTGGAGTGTGAGATGAGAGTGGGCTATCCACGCCAAAGGTCGAGGGGACAACTGGATTACACGGCTGGAGCTGGACACGGAAATGCGGATCTTGGAGACACCTACAGAGATGAACTGAGTCAGCTCAGTGGGAAAAATGTTCTTAAAGATCAAAGGCCTGAGTGAGGAGGAAAGTTCATACTTAAGGGTCCAGAGGAGGGACGTCTCCAGAGTGGCCTGGAAGGGGAAAGAGAGTTCATAAAAGCTAACCCGAGAAAGAGATCAATAATGAGAGATTGTTAATGCCAAGTGCTACAGAAGCAAAGAGACTTGATGACCGATTTTTTTTTAAGTTTGATTTAAAAAAAAAAAACACCACTTTTAAGAAATCGGTTTCAGCAAAAAGAAGCAAGAATGGAGTGAAGACATATGAAGAAGTGGTTTCTGGGGCTACCAGGTACGAGGGTGAGGAGAGTGAGCAACTCCCTCACTTGTGTGCCCTCGGTGCCTCACCCACCTCATCCCACCCATCCTAGCCCCGCCCTAGGTAGGTAGGTAGGTAGGTAGGTGGCTGACAGCAGATTCCTGGGTATGTCTAACAAGAGAGGGGAAAGCAATGAAGTGGGAAACAGAAAAGGTGCTGGAAAGAAGAGTGACAAGGGGCAGGGTAAGAGCTTCGAAGGCGAGTGGGGAAGGGTCAGGGAGAAACGCCCGCCCTGACAAGAGGGTAACTTGGGAAACAAACTTGAGGTGGGAGGGAGAAGACAAAGGAGAAGAAGAATTTAATGAGATGAAAATGTTGAGGGGCCACTGAGACACTGCATTGTGTACCACATTCGCTGTCTTTGTGCTGTGATAATGTAATAGAAACTTTGAAGATGGTGGCAAGAATGGCGGGATGCAGGAATGAACGGACGCATGAAGTAGAATGGCGGGTAAGAAGGCGCACGCACGCTTCAGTTTGAGTAAGTGCCAGTTAGGACTGCGAGGGGCCCTGTTGGGGCCTAGCACATGGACAGTCGTCCATCACCTACCTCCCAAAGGAGAAAAGACACATGAAAAAGATGGCGCTGGCGAAGGCTTCGGGGTCAAAATCACCTCCCAGGATGTCGATCACACGGCCAGAGTAATACGGGATTGACATCTCCCCTGGAACCAGGCAGGGTGAGTCAGGACGGCGCAGGGGCCAGGGCCTTTCCCACCGCCAACCCCCAGAGCCTGCCTAACTCACCCAGCACGGCCACCACGAGGAAGAAGAAGGCGACGGCGAGGAAGGGCAGGTCCGGCCTGGAGAGCTTCAGCAGCCGCCACATCAGGGCTTGGCTCTTCCCCTGGCCCTGCTCCCTCTCGGGGGCTCCGTGGGGGCTGAGCACGGCCCACACCG